CCGTAATTTCTGAGGTAAACGGCCAGTCTGGACCGTGGAAAATATGGAACAGCCGAAATCCTTAAAAGGAATTATACTGTGTCGGGAATGCTTTTAATGTTTATTAATGTTTAATGTTTCGGTGTGCAATCCTACAGGCAAAAATATGAGGCTATGAGATTTTTCTTGCCGAAAACTGATAAAAGTTTAATGTTTAGCCATATTTGGGAGATATCAGGACGAAATGTCTTCACTGTTATTCATTTGATACAGCATGCATCTCATTTCGGGATACGACAATTACATGCACAGTATGTGGTCACCGGACAACATTCGATAAATATAGGGTTATTTTTTGATATTATAAAACATTTCTTTGCCAATTATTTACTTACTTACTTGCGATTTAAAATAAAATTTAAAAATTCAAAATTTTAAAACTCTTTGTATGAGAATTTAAAACTAGTGAAAAATTTAAAGTAAAAAAAAACTTTTCAAGAATTGCACTACTCAAGCAGACCTGCATAATTCATCCGGAGACTAATCTTGCCTTTAAATAAGTCATCCAGAGACTGATTTTGCATAAATCTTCTCGAGCTAATATTACAAGCTTTGGAAAAAACAGAATTTATTGCCCATCTAGGGGTCATTATCTCCGGTAACATTGTCCAGTTGTTGCCCAGCAAGAATTCTGAAGCTTTTTCAGCGGTTGAGCTATAGTCTGAGAACCAGTGGAGTAATTCTTCGTAATTTATGCGGTTTCAGCTTCCCTCGAATCTTTGCCACGCTTTTCTCAGCATTTTTGACATCCCTTTTGGCAGGCTTTTTTCTACATTTATACATTTTATTTTTTGCATATGTAAAAAAAAATATTTTTCACATTTGAAAAATATGAACATTTTTTCGCTTTGATACTTTGAACACGTCGGAACATATGAAAAACGAGAAAAAAATTGAGAATTTTTTGATTGAAATTGGTATTTTTTTGCTTCATATTTCATACCTTTTTTTATCACATTTTCTTGATACATTGAAATAAGGCCTTTTTTGTATTTTATTTTTATTTATATTGCCACATATTTTTATGAATTAAAAATCTTCATCTTCAGCAAATTTTTTCCCCGCACGTGAAACTCACAAAAACGTGAACACGTGACGTAAAATCTGTGCTAAACAAACATTTCGTACAGTGGAAAATTTTCGTTTTCAACATCGAGGCAACAACTGCTTAGAATTTAGCTTTAAAAACATTCTGGGTCCAGCAAACATGAACAGCTTTTAATGGCCTTGCCGAACACACACATTTATTTTTCTTGTTTGCTAATATCAGTGCTTTCGAATACGCCCAAACCGTTTTCATCACTGCACTTTGCTTTATAATTTTCAACTGAACATTTAAATCCTTCGTTTTCAACCACTTCTACCGCCACAGAAGAGTGCGCTTTTCAGTAACGTAGGACACAGTTTTCACAGCATTAATTTGATCTTTCTTTTTGAAAAAAACTAAGCGAATTTTTAAAAAAACTTTTAAAATTTAAAGCCTGCAATTAGAAACAT